AAACCCGACTACATTTAGGTCCAGTCTTCGGTCTAGGTTTTAGCATAGTTCGGTTTTCGGTCCGGTCCGGTTTTAGACCGATGAACACCCCTAACTGCAAAAAAGCAAATTGGACTTTGATCACAGATTGGTGACAAAAGGTGAGATATGCACCTGATGCTTGAAGAAGCTAACGTTTATGTTTAGCATAATCTTCTCCCAACGTATTTGTCAGAAATTGATTTCACTTACCCCCTTAGTACTTCTTGCCCAACTAAGAAGATTTGAGTAGTTATGGGGAGTATTTACTTTAATTTGAAATAATTGAACGATTTTATTAAGAATAAATTCTCAAAATAGTCTTTTGTAATATAATAAAGTGTTTTCTCAAATCAGTCTTCAATAAGTTTTAATTACCTATGTGGTCCTTTATAATTGAAATTTATTTTCTATATAGTCATTCGCAAATAATGTTATCCAAACGATGATTAATTGGACATTATTTTCATATTTTTATCAGCTAAATTTAGAATAAGTTCTTAAAATGATCATTTCTAATGAAGTACTTACCCAAAATAATTTTTTCTAATTAAAGTTGTGTATTTGATTCAAATTTTAAAAGATTTTTTCATAGCTTTTTAGTAATTCATGGATTATGTATAATCAATGTATTTTTTAATTTTACATTTAATTGTATATGGAATTTACCATTTTGAGGATATACTTTAAATTTAGATGATAGAAATACCAAAATACCTTTTAATTAATTATCACTTGAGTAACATTATTTATGAAAACTACACGAGGAATAAATCTCAATTATAAAGGACCATGAAGATAATTATAATTTACTGATGACCGAATTGGGAAAAATACCTTATTACAAAGTAAGAAAAAGATAAACCACATCATAGAATCATCATAATTGACCTGAATAATAGGGAGTAATTTGGAAGAGAATAAATAAAACCCTAATTTTAGTTTGGATCATAGAATATTTGACTAAAAATTAGATTTGTGCAAACAAGGGTTGGCCCGTTCGGCCCGCCGAGCCCGCCCTTTAAAAAGGGCGGATATGGACTACCTTTAATACTCAAATGGGCGGGCCGGCCCAAGCCCGAATTGTATATGGGCGGATCTGGAAGTTACTTTTAGCCCATCTGAGCCAATAGGCCCGCCCATATTCATCAAATATATTTACTTTATTATTAATTACCTAGCCAATAAAATTTTAAAATTTTCTATAGTTCATGTATAATAGTTTAATTCACTCACCTCTTTTAAACAAAAATCGATATTCTTTTAATGAATCAGTATGATGAGCATATTAATTATGTAACAATATCTTTATTATGCTTTCTATATAAATGTGGTGACTGGTTATTTTATTTTAAATATTAAAAAAGAGTTTATTTTTTTAAAAATTTTTTGTACAAAAAAAATTTCTTGATGTTTTATCCGGGCAGGGCGGCCCAGTGGGCAGTCCAGCCCGCAAAGATGGGCGGGTATGGGTAAAGAAATTAGCCAATCATATCCGGGCCGGGCCAGGCCCGCCAATGTAAATGGGCTAATAATATATATCAAGCCCAACCCAGATTCGGCCCGGATCCTTATTTGCACAGGTCTACTAAAAATGTACTTAGAGCTGAGTATCCAAAAAATCAATGAAGATCATGTAACAAAAATGTATCCAAAAGAACAACATAATTTATTATCTTTAAAAAGAGATGGAATGTAGTTTAGATTTTAAGTTAGGATTTATAGAGTCAAAATATTTTGAATTTCTCTAGCTCCATTAAAAGGATTAGCTTAATGGGTCACAGAAAGACCTTCATGTTCCGAGTTAGGGTAATTGATTTAATTATTTGTATTTTAATTTATTTAAAAATTGATATTTAATTAAAAAAAATAAAATTTATATATTTAAAAACTAATCAAGCATTCTACACGATAAAAGTTTATGTGGTGGAAATAGACAAAAAATGAAATAAAAAATGACTCTATAATTAAGACGGCCTCCCACCCGCGCATGTCCGCCTTTCCTATAGCCGATGTGGCTGCCGGCTATAATAGAGTTGGTATTTAATTAAAAACTGGTATATGATTAAAAATTAAAATTTATATATTTTAAAACCTATCAAACATTCTACACAATAAGAAATGACATAATTATTACGCGGAGTATAATTTTATCTAATTATAGTTAGTAGTGAAAATAAACCACGAATGAAATCAAAATTGACTATAATTAAGACGTCCTCCAATGCATGCACGTCCAGTTTACTTTTTGAGTCTAATATTTGACTAATAGTACGTCTTAATAACAAAAACATATTAAAAGTAATAAATTAAAAGAATTTTTCATTCCATTCCGATAATTTGATATAATTTTTATATTTTAGTTTATTGTATATTTTTATATATAGTTAAGTTATTCAAATCAGACAAAAAAAGAATGAAGGGAGTAACTAAAAGAATGTCATTAGTCATTACTACTTCAAAAAAAAAGAATGTCATTACTCATTTATTAGAGCATTCACAATGGCAAGGCAATGCCTTGTCTTGCCATGCTATGTCAGCAACTTCCACTCAAATCACGACATTCCATGATCATTCCACCCCATTTTTCATTCCATGTGCAAGACATGACTCTCTCATTTTTTATTTTTTTTAATATTTTTAATATTTGTAATTTTTGAAAAAATATTTTTTTTAAAAGAAGTAAACATATTTTAATAATAAAATAAATTTTAAAAATAATTTTTTATAATTAAAAAGCAATAAAAAGTGCAAAAATAGACAAAAACAATGACTTGCCACTGTATGTCACGACACTCCACTCATTTGCCACACGGTGACTGAGTTACTTTTTATTGGTTGAAATAATCCATGTCACCGTGTGACATTTCATTTTTGTCTTGCTATTGTCAATGCTCAAAAATAGCGGTAATTACTCCGTAGAATTTAAATTTAGCACCCACAGATTGACAAATACAGCCGATATGTGTACTTCTTGACTTATATGCTGGCATACATGTGTACAAATGTACAATAAACTTTTTTCATTATTTTATCAAAAAGTAAATTATTTATTCAATTATGTACGCGTGATGTTTAAAGTTAGCTTCTAGGAGTAATATATTATTATTAGAATTTTTAGTGCCTAATTAATCTTCTTACTTTTTATTCTAGCGAGTCTTTAAAAAGTTGTCTTATTTTTTTACTCGTAATAAAGTAAATAATACGTGGTTCATAATTTTTCTCATTCTTACAAATAAAATTGAATCATCCACTTTTTATTTTCCAGTATTTTTTCTAAGTTACGTGAAGTCAAACTGAGACAATAAAAAAACCCATCCCTAGAAGCCTCCTCAGACCCGGCCAGACAGTCAATCGGAGGAGATAAATTAGACTTTAATCGCAGATTAGTGGCAAAGAATGGAGTCTGCACTTGATACTTGCAGAGGTCATATGCTTAACATAGTTGTCTCACAGCGCAATTGCTAGGAATCAAACTCGAGTCTTAACCCCTTGGCATTTCTTGTCTTGTCAACTGCACAACGCTCATCAACGTTTAGCTTGAGATGATAAATTTGAAGGAAAGGGATTATTATTTGAGCAATGCTAGGGGTACACCAAAGGTGTACCCCAAATGTACATCACTCCCTTCTCCACCACCCAATTTTGTTTTATTTTTATTTATTCATTTTTTTTAAATTTCTTGTCTTTTTTTGTGGACAAGGAGGGGGTAGGGGACAAATGAGGTACACATTTGGTGTAGCCCTAGCATTTTTCTTATTATTTACAAATAAAACAATTCCATGCATCTTTATATTGGATTAGTCTAGAATGAAATGAAAGACAAGGAGACATTGCGAGATGAGCGGGGTTTCGAGGTTGTCGCGTGAGTGTACATTGACGTGAAAATTACACTCCAATATTATTATTATACTGAGTGATTAGATTCTCCATTATCTCACAAGATCTTTCCACATAATTAACCTTATCCAAATGACTGGTGTAATTAAAGTGCCTATAAATAAACTAAATTATCAGGGAATTAGCTACTAATACCATCAATACTGCTTTGTTTGTGTGTGTGTGTGTATATATTTCACAATTGCTTTGACCTTAACTTCTGTCTGAGTGCCAAATTTTTTTATTGACTTGACACGTTTATTAAGAAGTGGTATAAAAGTGCCAAATTTTCAAAAATGCACATATTATAAATTTTTAAATATTTTTTTCTTATTAAAAAGCAATAAAAAGTAGATTGGTGATAAAATAAAAGAATATTACTCTGTATTAGAATTTATCCTTAAAAAGTACACTAAATAAGGAAATAAGAAAAATATTTTCGGACAGTCAAAAAAAGAAATTATAATTGAATTTGCAGAATCACAAATATTGATGAAGCAATTTCTCTCTAATACTCATATATATAATAGTAAATTATTATTCTCGTCAAAGATTAGCATGACTATAAACTAATTTCAAAAATCTAAAATGAAATGAACTTCATAAATCCAAATTAAAGAATTAGATTCCTCCATGGAGCAATCAGCAATCCCTCCACGCTCAAATAATCCTAGTTTTTCAAAGCCAACCTGTCACTTATACGAAGATAATATTGATGCGCGCCAATACTTTCTCTCTAGATTTTCTATTGGTAAAATTGGAAATTTTTTTCAAAACGTCAACTTTCTTCGTGGAGCGCTGGCCCTGGGAAGCTTCTTGCCTTAATCTGTGCTCAGAAAATAAGCAATAGAAGAGAGTTGCGTTTTTGGGGGCCGTAGGCCGCCTTGCTTAAGTTGCTTGGTCCTAGAGAGATCACAAGTTAAAATGTTACTTGTAGTTGCATCTTTTTTTAGTGCCCATAAAAATACAATTAAATGACTCATTTTAATAACTATAGTAGTGGTGAGCAATGACAATGGATTATGAAGTACATGGCTAGTTGTGGATCAGAGTGGAAGAATAGTAATAATTATCAAGAAGGGGTTTAGACTTTTGACATATACTCAATTAGTCAATTTTCATTTTCAGGTCTGTTTTTTTGACATTGGCGACCAACGTCATAATATGAAATTGGCCCGTTTGGGATCCTATGGTACTACAATTCAACGATTTTCCGAAGATCTTCTTGGCACATCAAACATTTCAACAATCCACTTGTAGAGATAATAACACTTCTCTACAAGAAAAAGAGAGCATTGTGTCAAGGCATAAATCACTCATCCCTGTTCTCATTTCTCCAGTCTTCATCACTGAACAAGTCCTCAGGAGGGTCATAAATGATCATGTCTGGGAAAAGCTCAAGGAAGTCATCCTTAACCTTTTCTCTCAAATCCGGATAGGGAAGGAGCCCTTTTAAAATCACACGGTAAGGCAAAGACAATGGGGGCTCGGTAGAGTTTCTCATTTCATCATATACATGCATTGCCTCCTCCGGTAGTCCAGCATCCGAGAATGCCCTCACAAGGTCACCAAATGTGTGCTGGTCAAAAAGTACTCCCTCACTCTTCAAATCTTTCCAAACCTTCCTCCCTTCATCTACTCTTTTGTTCCTTGCAAGCATCAAAAGCATATCCCTATAGAAAAACGTATCTGGCCGATACCATATCTCTTTTCGCACCACCTCATATATCTGCACATAGAAAATGCATGATTTTTAGGGGCCCTACAATGCCCCGTTCGTAAAATTGATAGTTTCTATCCCCAATCCCGAACCCGAACCCACCTCCACCCCCCTTCTATTGCACCTCCAAATTTATTTGACATTGGTGTAAAAAATGGGGCCTATGTGATAGGATGACCCGGTGTTCCAATGTCAAAAACTAGACCCATAGTATTGATAGGGTAGAGTTATAAGGGATCATGAAAAACATTTCAATGCTTGATTTAACTTCTATGGGTGGGGCCTATCTATGTGGTACCTATAAAGATTTCAATCAAATCAATGTGGAGGTGGATTCTTTGAGTGACTTCTGCATTTGCCTTAAGCCTCATAGAACTGTTTCTTGGGAGTGTGCTAATGATGCAGAGACTGTTCGGCATTTGGCAATGCTCAAGGCTTTGATACAGTTCAAACACACTTATCAACCAAACATACCCAGTATAAAGTTGCCAACTTTTTTTTCAACCTTGGATACACATCTAAGAGGAAGGAAGCTTAGATAAAGAAGTTAATGGCACATATGGGAACACTATATTGTTGTTCGAACGAATTGGATAAGATTCAACCAAGTATTTCTTCATTTTTCTCATTAAATTGCGGCGGCCTTATACGCACCTCTTGGTTTTCCAATAATATGGTTTCTCAAATTTGGGTTTCACACACTATGATCTTCTATTCATATTAAAATCTATCAGGACATTCAATTGTAATAAACGAAACAAATCCATTAAAATCCCAGAAATGTACTCAAAACTTACTCCTACTAGATATAAGACATTCAATTGAAAAACAACTATCGAAGAATAGAATTGCGTAATTGGAAATTCTTTCAATTTGAACTGTGATAAAAAATAGTGAGGGCAAAAATGGCAGAGTAATTGGGAACTGATTGCTGTACTGTGTGTACCTTCATGGAGAGAAACACAAGCTCCTGTCTTTGGAACTCCGCGAGGACGGCGACGAGATCGGATTTGAGCAGACGAGAAACGCTAGACTTGATGAACCGTTCGAGACGGATCGGGTCGGATTGCAACCGCTTGAGCTCCTTGGCCGCCATTAAACCTTCTTTCCCCAATTCCTTCTTGCGCCGCCATATCGACGCGCTCGGACTCGACGCCGCCGCATTCGAGCCGACGATGAGAGCTCGGATCGCGCCACCGTTGCGGTTCGGCGGGTGAGAAAGTACGGGCCGTCCTGTGCAGGCCCTTCTCAGTAGGTTCCCGCCACAACGCCACATTCCAGATGCATATGTTTTAGCTGTTGATGATGGAGTCTGAAAATCTGGCCTTTTTTAAATCCGGTCCTATTTGATCGATAAACCCATTTTGGTATTGAGCCCAAACCAGTCGGACCCGGAGAACCGGGTGACCCGGGTCAATCCGGCCGGTTCACAGATTTGGGCAAAAACTTAATTTTTATGAAATTTTAATGTTGTAAAATTTAAAACGCCAATGATGTTCAAACCCAACATCATTGTACCTATCTCAGCATTGGTAAGCCAGTTGAGCCAAACACTTTACACATGTCGTATGCAAAACAAATTAACTACAAAATGTACCACATAAGTTTTTTTCATTGTGCATCTAACTCACTTTATGAACTTTTAAAATAGTTCCAAAAAATTGAGAATTATTTAAATTTAATTCAAAAATAAATATACTTCATATAATCTATGCTTGAATACATTACGCAATTCATATAATCATATACTCCCTCCGTCCCATTTTATAACGACTGTTTTGGTTTACGATGTTTGACTGAAGTTATTTTTAAATCATTTTATATGACAAATGGTATAGAGTTAAAAAATAAAAATTACATATCAAAATACTACATCAAAAGATCTACAAAACTAATAGTGACAACAATATTTTATTTTATCAAATTACTAACGAAAATAGAGAAAGAAAGTGAATGAAGTTTGACCATGTGAATAGTGAACATGCATTATAATTTGGGACAGAGGGAGTACTTCATATGCTACATCTTTTTTTAATCATTTTATTCAAATAAATACACAGTTTAAAATGTCAATTGTATACAAGAATACATTAGTTAGGGGCTGTTTGGTAACTTCTGAATGGGTAAGTGCTGAACCAGTAAGAGGTCTGAACCATTAAGTGCTGAACCAGTAAGAGGTCTGAACCATTAAGAGCTAGTATATTGTTTAACTATTCAGAGGCAAATGTCTGATCAATTCAGATAAGAGCTCTTAACCATTCAGACTATGTATAATACTTAACCATTCAGATGCAAATCTCTTAACCATTCAGACATCTGAACCATTAAGAGGCTGAAACAAACAGTCTGAACCATTAAGTGCTGAATCATTCAGACATCTGAACCATTAAGAGGCTGAAACAAACAGCCCCTTAGTCTTTACTTTTTAAAAATATGAGTATCCCCTTATTATTTAAGTATTTATTAGACATTCATTATTAGTTTGAATAATAATAAAAATCATATAATAAAATATAGAAGGTGTGAAATAATATATGCACTATGATATTAAGAACTAGATAGAAAAATAAAAGAAGAAATTTAGTTATTTTTATTGACTAAAAATATCTAACACTCTCTCTGTTTCTTAAAACCCTATCTCTTTTCATTTTTTTTGTTTCTCTTAAAACACTTCCATTTTCTATTAAAAAACCACTTTTACCCCTACTTTTTTATACCCTACCTATCACATCATACTTTTTCCCTAATAAATAAACTATCACATCTTATTTTTACCCATCACATCAGGTACAAAATTGGAAAGTCAACTAAAATTACTCTTTCTTTATTTTTCCCAAAAGTCAAAATAGGAACCGTTTTGAGAAACGGAGGGAGTATATAATATAAAATTTTAGTAGTATAAACATCGTTGACTGGGTCGTTGACTCTCGGTTTGACTGGTTCGAGCGATCAACCTTTGACTTAGTACCTCGTCCGAATCAACGTCCAGTCCAATTTTCAGAACATTGCTTTTTCTAACTCCTTCTAATTTCCTCCCATTATGTCTTAAAAAGAGAATTTTTATATGATTAATATACGGAGTACAATAATACCGGAGTATTATATACTCGTTCTAGTTTTTTCCAATAACTCCTTCCATTTTTTTTAAACTTTTTCCAGTTTCTTCCAACATTTAACTTTGAAATTTCAACTCAAAATAACAAGGTCTTAATGTATTCAAAAAATCATTATAAGAGTGTAATTCCTTATTCCTATCAGAGCACTCTCTACTAGCAAACTACTGGAATATTTATTGAGTTATACAAGCTAAGTAGTGAACATAACATAATACTCCAAGGTAATATGAATGCAGTAAAGTATATAACTCTGCTATTCTGTTTAAATAAATAAAGAGTAACTGAATAATTTAAATAGTCAGAGCACTGAGTTTGAGACCTAAATGACCCTAAATCCCTAAAAAACCAAAATGAAAGAAAATCAAGATTCATGAAATGTAGAAAACAAAAGTTTTAAAATCAAGAAAGGAGTTAGATTTATTATTTAGAATATTTCCAAAATATTATTTTATCTAATTAATATACAATATATATCTATTTAATTCTGGTTGGGCTGACGGCTCGGACCATGTTCTCTTTCACCTCATACTATGGATATTAAGGGTATGACAGGCTCAAGGACGGCCCTTTTCTTACGCTCAATAAATTGTCTACTAGCATTTTAACTCGTGTCATGTATGTAGTTGAATGATTTTCTTCCCTTCAATTTTGCAATGTTTCTTCAATGTACTACCTACATTGCACTGCCTTTGTCCAAAATATTTATTTCTAGATAAACTTTAATTATTAATTAAATAAAATTTATTTTAGATAATGAATAATTTTATTAGTTTTATCTTATAAATATTTCCAGAATATGATTTTTTGCTCAAGTTGCAAGGACTCTCACCCTCCCCCACAAACAATACATTTAGGGGGGGTGTATTTTATTAGGAATTTATAGGATTTTTTAAGACTTTCAAAATCAGAAAGTATTCAATCTAGATTTTCAAAAGTCTTTTAAAATTTTAAGGTATTCAATGTAGATTTTCTTAAGTCTTTAAAAATCATGGGTATTCAACAAAGATTTTAAAAACTCTAAAAAGATTTTAAGCTACTTTCTCTTTGCTCAATTTAAATAATCCACTATTATCAACATATAAAAAGAGCCTAAATGAACAAGGTGATCACATTTCATTTGAATTTGGATACTTATCCACTTCTCCAGCCTTCAAGCATTGGACTTGCGCTGAGCCGCCTGAGCACGAAGCTCCAAGGTATCCTTATAAATAAAGGCCTTGGTGATACCAGTAAACTAAATGGGCAAAAAAATAATATACATGATGAGGGAAAGCAAGCATGTTACTTAGCAGAAGCATCCATATCTTATTAACAATAAAAACATACAGATTACGAAATTCTACTCTTACCGCAGCTACGACCCCAAGATCAGCAATCACCTCTATCACCCTATTCTCAGACCTTCCTGTAGCCTGAAGAAAGAAGACAGATTTATGAAAAGGCCGATGATATATCAATGCGTGATTGACACTTTTTTTTTAAGTCTTCCAAAATACATTCAATAATAATCACTGATGCCATGCATGAACAAAGAAAGTAGTAGTAATCACCTTAGCCAAGTCATATATATAGGTAGACACACAGTAGCTACAAAAACAGGCCAACTTATGGCTACAGTAATGGGCCAGTATGAAATACAGCTGCTGGGCAGTAATGGGCCAACATTCATCACAAATAATCAAGAAAGAAACAGTACACTTAGTACAACACATATAATGAAGACATCATATGTAAGAATATGTATATACATACAATGATCTGTGTATATTGAATAGATAATTATGAAGAAAAATAGCCAGGAATACTTCAAAGACTAGGAATAATGAATTAAAGTTTAAAATTTAAATATATCTCCTTTAATATATATATATATATATATATATATGGACATGTATTTACTCATAACATCAAATTTAAACCGTAGCCAATCTAATTAGTTTTTTCAAATATTTACTCTGAAAGCGTGCATATCAATATTGGAGAAACTCATTCATATCAATATACTCCCTCCGTCCCATAAAGTGTTACCCATTTTGACTAAATTAGAAATTAAGGGAGGTATAATTTTGTGTTGACTTTCCAAAAATATCCTTGATGTGATTGGTAAAAGTAGGATGTGATGTGTAGATTATTAGGAAAAAGGTATGATGTGATAGGTAGGGTTTGAAAAAGTAAGGGGTAAAAGTGTTTTTTTAATAAAAATGGGTAGGAGATTGTGGGACACAATTTTTTTGAAAGGTGTAATTCTTTTTGGGACGGAGGGAGTATATGAATAGATCTAAAGATCTACATATGAATTCAGAATATATACATAGCAAAAAGGGATCCGGTGATCTAATATGCCGAATAACAAATCATGAAATAAAGCATTTGATCAAAAAATAGGAAAACGAAACCATCTAAAAAAAACTAATAGAATAAACAAAGAAATTAATAGAGCAGAGAGCGAACGAGAAAGAGAATCAGAGAGGAGTGAAATCAAACTGTAGCATGCAGATGAATTCTACTTTCCGAAATTTATGAAGGAGCTGATGAAAAGCGACGATATGGTGGAGAAAAAAAAGAAAGGTACGATTTATTTAATTATAAGTGAAAGATTAAAAATGATTAACGGGAAAAATGAAAATTGAAAAAAGATGTTGCATGTCATGTACTCCCTCCGTTTGGAAAAATTCAATAACAAATCATTTTTTTTCATCCAAAAAAAAAAATAAAAACAAAAACTATGCAATTGATCGAACAAAACTGAGACAAGGATCGTTAACCCAATCATACTTCTCCATGAAAGGGTTGACCAATATTTTGGGAGGGTAAGAATGGATGCAATCTTCCCAAACATTGGGATCCCGGAGTCCTTCACCACCTCCCAAACACAATTGTTGCATTTGAAGCCTGCCCCAAGGCTCACCATTAGTATTCTGTCACCTTTTTTCAACCTCTTCTTGGCCTCCATGTACCCGAGAACGTACCACAGCCCGCCCGCAGACGTGTCACCCCACCGGTGCAACGACATCCTCGTCGGCTCTAAGTCGTACTCGCTCAGCCCCAGGCTCGCTCCCACGCCGTCTATCACCGCCCGCCCGCCCGGGTGCAGGCAGAAATGCTCGATCCCGGTTTTCATGTTGACGACACCTGTCATTGCACGCATGTTAGTGAAGTATTGAGAATTAAAAATGTTAAAGATAAACAATGTCGTCATTAGAAAGCATTTTTTTAAATGCCAAAATTAAAAAATCACAACATATCATCACTAGTCAATGTATGTATGTGTGTGTATATCATCACTAGTCAAATACTTACAATTTTATTCTCCATTGGCATCCTATATATATATATATATATATATATATATATATATATATATATATATATATATATATATATATATATATATATATATATATATATATATATATAGGATGCCAATGGAGAATAAAATTGTAAGTATTTGACTAGTGATGATATANAAATATATATATATATATATATATATATATATGATCTCATTTTGTAGCTACCTATATATGTTTTTCTTTCTTTTTTATTTTTTATTATTTATAGTTGTGGTGTATGCTGATGAATGAACACAATAACTTTTCATTTTATCAGGTGGCTTTTTTGATTTATAACTCACTAGACTCGTACCCGTGCGATGCACAGGCGGTAAAATAACTTATACTCCGTATTTAATCTTGGTTTGGAATAAAATATAATGAAAAAAACAAAAAGATTACAAATTTTATTTTTATTGCCCAAAAAAAGGTATCATTGGTAAGCATGTTATGCCTTGTTATTATTATTATTATTATTATTATTACTATTATTATTATTATTATTATAGTTCATATGTATGAGTAGTAATGTGTTAGTAAGATGTTAAATGCTAAACTAACAGTGGACATTTTGTATTTTCAACAAAAAAAAACACTAAATGAAGAATGCACGGGAAATAAACATTTTATTACGGAAAGTAGAATTCATCTGCATGCTGGAGTTTGATTTCACTCCTCTCTGATTCTCTTTCTATTTCGCTCTCTGCTCTATTAATTTCTATGTATATATTCTGAATTTATATGTAGATCTTTAGATCTATTCATATATATAGCTTAGATCTCCATTTTTCATATGTATATATACTCTGACCATGCATGCAAACTTTAATAGCTTAGTCCCTTTTCTTGTTCTGTCCATCCTTAAGATAGCTACATTTTGGAGGGAACACTTTTCCAGCCTCTTTTGTGATCCACTAACACTATGTGTGTCTACCTATGTGTTCTTTTTTTCTTTTAATTTATAGTTGTGGTGTGTGGTGATGAATGAACACAGCTTTTCATTTTATCAGGTGGCATTGTTGATTAACTCATAAAAGCGATCATGGGTAAGCTTGTTACGCGTTGTTGTTGTTTTTATCATCATCATCATCATTATAGTTCATATGTATGAGTAGTAATGTGTGAGTAAGATGTTAAATGCTAAACTAACAGCGGACATTTCTTGCTTCCATGTGTTTTCACCTGCTGTTTCGATCTCTTTGCTATTGTGCCTGCAGCCGTGTTTGAATTTTTTGGAGCCCCAATACAGTTGGCCGTGAGGAAATGTGCAGAGAGGTTTCCTCTATTTCAAGAGTACATCACTATAACGGCTAAGGTGATTGATTATTACTTTCTTTGTTCACGGAATCGGTGATTATTTTTATTTATTTTGGAAGACTAAAAAAGAAAAGTGTACGTCGATCACGCATTGATCATCGGCTTTTTCATATCTGTCTTCGATCTTTAGCATGCAGAAAGGTCTGAGGATTCGATGATAGGCGCGATGGGCGATGCTGGGGTCCTACTTGCGGTAAGAGTAGAATTTCGTTATCTGTTAGTTTTTATTGGTGAGATGGATGCTGCTAATTAACATACATGCTTCCACCCTCCCGTTGTACATTTTGTTTGTTCATTTAGGGCTATGGTATTTACAAGGTCATTGATTATCGTCATGAGAAAGAATTCTTGAAGCGTTCTGCAGAGAGGGAGAGGAGAATGGAATGCTTGAAGGCTGGATGGACCAGTGAATAAGATGTGTGTGCAGTCCGTGCCTTGCTCAAAAACGACTTGTGTTGTTTGTTTGTTATAGATAAGGTGTGTGTTATATAAAAAAGACATTAGGTGCTATGTATAACTTTTTTTTAATATTCCTAGTATTACCTCTAAGCGCACTAATATTAACCAATTGTATACATTTTATCCAGTAATAACTTTTATTATAACTTTCAAAGTCTAAATATATTTGCATAAATAAAGTGCCCACCATTTAAGAAGATAACAATTAATTTTTACCCAAGAATATAATAATTAATATTTAAGAATATTATTTGACCGTAATTGTATTTATAACAATTAATATTATACCATAAATATTTCGATTGTAAACACGAATCAATAATTAACTTACTACACATAAATATCATTGTAACGATTCTTCACCATTTTCAAAAGTTATTAATGAAAAATAGTATATTTTGTCACATATCTAAAAATCTTTACAAAGCTTTTAATGGAAAATAGTAATTTTAATATGAGAAATACTAATTTGAAAATTGAGCATAATTTCTATTAGACTTAGAATGTTTTTTTACCATATACGGAATATCATTAGTGCTCTATTAAATAAACATGCCAATAACAATCCTTTTTTTATATATATATTTGTCTCTTTTTTAAATTGGAAACTAATACTTTTAATATTAGTTTATAATAATAGCATTATTATAATTGTTACTATTATTATTATTATACGTAGTTCTAATCCATAATTTAAATTTTTTATTTAGGTCTTGAACACGCAAATCCAAACCCAAACTTATATTTTTATTTTTTAAAACTGTTAAAAAAATCAATTTTATATTTTTCATTTTCTTTTTCAAGAAAAAGAATTTTAGGATCATTTATTTTTTCAAATAAATTTCAAACTCACATTTTTTAATTTTTACATCAATTTCATAAGAGTTTTTTAATTTTAGCATAGTCAAATTTTTATTGAGTTTTATCTTTGTATTCTAATATAGATAAGGCATGTGTTATGTAATAAAAATGAATTTTATCCATTTATAGTTTATTTTCCTTTTAATATATGTAGTATAAATTTTTAATTATTAAAATTTATTTAAAAATAAACTTTATATTATTTAATTTCTTTCAAGAAAATGGTATTCAAATATCACTTATTTATCTCTTTCAAATAAATTTTAGCTACATATATACATCAATTTAACGTTGATTTATGTTTTGCTAATTAAACTGCTAGTGGGGATTTCTAAGAGTGTGGAAGTATTTAAGAATATTATTTGAAAATAATTTCATTTATAACAATTAGTATTATACCAGAAATATTTGGATTGTGAACACAATTTAATAATTAACTTATTACACATAAATACCATAGAACCATCTCTTTACCATTTTAGAAAGTTATAAATGGAAGATAGTAACTTTTGCCCACAAATGTGAAGATTTTTAAGTTATGTTAAACATGTTGCACATATAGCCTAACCATTTCCAACTCACCTCAGTTTGTATTTAGAGTAGAAGCATTCACTTTTGCGCACAAATGTGGAGATTTTTAAGTTATGTTAAACATGTTGCACATATAGCCTAATCATTTCCAACTCACCTCAGTTTGTATTTAGAGTAGAAGCATTCAATTCCCTTAAAAATGAGCTATACGCCATCAGAAAGCAAAATTAGCCTCCATGGAACACATTCCAAAAAAGAAATTCAAAATCTAGCTTTAATAAAAACTGAAGATGACTTTAATACTCATAAGAAAATATATGTGATAGAAGGGGAAATATATTTTACTACATGGAGTTCTCTAAATTTGCCTTCAAAGAGCATGTTAGCATCAATGTTTCTCTACAGAATCTTTAAGTCTTCAATTACCTCAACAACCTTTGCTGGAAAACAACCATTCTGCAACCACTATTTTAAACCTCTGGTATGTGTTCCTTTACAATGGCAGGACAAAACATTACATGCCAATTATATATATTCAAGAAAAAATGGAGGTAATCAAGTACAACAATATTGTTGTATATTCATTTGTCCTATTTAGGAAAGGAGTTAAGCAAGCGGCATGAAACCTAGGTGAAAAGGCTAGAGAAATGATTTGATTATCACAAATATAAACTTACGTTGTAGAGCTCTTACTCAGGAAATCAATGCCTAAAATGTCTGCGTCACTCTACGGAGTACTACAGAGTACTATGTCAATGACATCCAAAGTCATATCAATGCCAAGGCCATTAGACTGATCAGAATTAACAACAAACCCAAAGAGTAATGCCACATCCAATGCATAAGAAAAATAAATTTAGGCTGCTGGATTAAGATGTCAAAGCCACAACAGTCTATTGCAAGTGTTTAAAAAGACAAAATAACATCTTCTTCTCCCTATCAGTATTCTACTACATTTATAATCCAAAACCAATTGCCACAAATTAAAAGCCCTTACCATTAGTTTGATCAAACCCAAGACTGCCCAACCGAGGACTTTCCATGTGGCACCACCATCAGAATAATTTTCTCTAACTTGCAAATAGAAGTTAGAATAGGGCCTTACCATTAGTTTTAGGGCTGTATAAAAAGACAATGTACCAACATCTTCTTCTCCTTATCAACACCCTAACTCAATAGCTCCACGCCTGCACTAATATAAAATCACATACCTCTTTTCTCTTCTAATATTTTGTTTTCACCTCTCGAAAAGGATGTGTAGACCATCAATATATTTTAAATTATGAATATTGTAGCCACAGATAAAATTTAAGTATTTAGCCTATTTTTCTTATAAAGCTGCAAGTGACAAACATTCTTTCATCAAATGTATATAGACCCTAGAATTTTCTGCCAAATCAAATTCTTAAGAACACACATTTCATTTCTTATAATCCAAAGTGTAGGACAAAATGAAAGAAAAATAATTCAAACATGTGTCTGTCCTCCAACTCTAAGTCAATCTTCCTAATCTTCCTCCAATCAAGACCCTTTTGTTTCAATTGAACCCTGGAATTCAAGCATCTCTAATTGCTTAATCTAATTTATGGCCATCATGCAATGGATTCATTACACCAATCTGCAAGAAAATTAATAAAAGAGGTGCAGTTTTCTTAAAAATCAGAAAGAGCATAGATCCTTTTTTTACACAACTACACTTAATTCTTATATAATCAACATACACAACCTGTTTTGGAGAAATAAATCAGCATGCAAATGAAAAAAAATTAAGTGTTCAAAATGCAGAATATAGCAATAAGAATTTATTTTCAAGCAAATCAACGCTTTAGGAGCACAAAACATCATGAAATTCAGCCCAAAACAACCCAATTTGTTTTCAAAAATTATCATTGAAAGATCATAACTTTGAACAAAATCAACACGCAATGCTCTCAAAAAAAGTTGTGCATATCAGAATATGTAAGTCCGTCACCTATTTCATTCAAAATATAACATATATGATCAGTGGCAACAAAAATTAGGAAGTAAAATACAGAAAATAGTGTACAAAATTACTCAAATAGTGTACTCCAAAATATAACAAATACACAAAGAGAACAACGACTACTAAACAGAGACATTTTGAGGCCTGTACATTCGAGAAAAAGTGTTAGTTTTTGAATAGGAATGAGTAATGATGGTTTTAAGACATCAACTATCTCTTTTATGTTTGTCTCATTACCTAACATAGCCAACTTTAGGACATCATCTTTCTCCAGATTTATATCACATACCCTGCATGTTAAATGATAAAAATAAATTCCATCAAATTGGACCTAAGGAAGCTACAATTTGCTAGCCACAAAGAAAAGTGACATATAACTTGAGTGATGCAAGTTCCTTAGTAGTGAGATTTATTTCCTTTAGTTGTGTGCATATGGATGTTGAACTTTATAGGTCCTGCAAACCAAATGGTTTCAAGGACTAAGGATATAGAAATGGTTTGTAAGGAAAAGCACATTCAGTCCAGAACAGCTAATATATTGGCTATGACTGACAATAGTTGAACTAAGTACCTTATATTTAACATAATGCAAGCTTAGAGATGTAGCATTCTGTTTCAGTCTTGTTTTACAGGGTAACTTTGACCTTCACTTGATCCTCAGATTTTAAAAACTAAAAACATTTGTTGTAGACATAAATAAACCACAGGAAGAAGGGAAACGATGGCCTCAAGAATCAGAAAATTGAAGTAATACTTTCATTTTAGATTTAGTCCAATATCCATATAGTGGGTAGGCCAATAAGAACATCCAACGAAATCAAATAAGCCAAAAAAATATAAAACAACAAATTTGAGCAAGTACCGCCACCTTAATTCTTCATGGTTAGCATAAAATATAAAATACCCCAATGAAATTGAAATACGGAGTATAAAGCATCTAAAACTGTATATTTGTCTTTCTTAAAGTAATGATTTCCACTTTCAAATGACTCACTATTAATGAGTTCCTGTAGTTGTTTATTTCTTTATTTGTTCTTCCTAGCAAATAGCTCACTATCAGTGACCATGTTTAACTGTCAGGCAAAGGATGAATGGATTTGGAAGACATGTCAATTGCTCAAAGATATTAGGAATGAGCACGCCTTACAAACCAAGAATAGAAATTGATTTATAGATGACCTTAGACGAAGAATTTATAGAGGAATCAGATCCCAGACGAAGAAATTATCAGACCATTCAGTCGAAGAATTCATAGAGGGATCAGACCATTCAGACGAAGAGATTCATATAGTAATCAGACCATTCAGACCAAGAATCTCAATGGGTAAAAATAAGGAAACTTACCGTACTTACGATCATCTCCTTGTCATCGTATTTCCCTGAAATTTAACAGAGAATTGAGTGGGGTGATAGAGTCTCCTGATCGAATGACAAATTTTGCATAGGACCGATGATGATATCTCTAGATCGCTTTGGATTGTGTGGGTGATGAAGTATCCTGATCGAACGACTGAGTTTGCTCATATCTAGGCATCCATTGGTCCGGGTCATATAGATCCGAAATATTCTTGAAACCTTAGCTGATACACGTCTGTTTGATGACATGGTGATTAGGGGTCAAAAAAACACTCCAGTCAGCACGCCAAATGTCGCGATTTCGAGAGTTCAACTCTCAAATATTATATATACTAGTATTTTGATCCGTGCGATGCACGGGGTCGAACGAAACTGTTGTCGATTTTGAAATTTTTCAATGAAATATTTATTCCAAAATCAAGTAAATATATTTCTGTCACAAATTTTAATCAATGGAAAACAATGACAAAGTAGAATATAATATTTGAGAAATTGAAAGTGTACTCGAAAAAATCTTTTTTAATTCCAAATTTTTTGAAAGACTTTAGTGTACACAACATTTTTTGTATCGTTGTAAGCGTTTTTATTTTAATCTAGAACCAATATTTTTAATCATGTCTTTTTCTTTACTCGTGAAACAGAAACATAAAGCTAACCATAAGTAAATCCCGAATTGGTTAAAAAATAATATAGCAAAGGACAATGTTTGACATTGACTTTTGTTTATAGTCATAGCAAAACATAAGA